CATGTAACAAAAATCAAACATGTATCATTGCACCATGGTATGGGAAAAGTGAGAAAGAAGCAACATTTCGAATTTAATGCAGATGATATAGGGAACACCCATGGTAATTAAAACTCAACCGGCAACTTGCAGTACAGTTGTGGAATATTCTGGCAGCTTTTGAACAGTTGTGGTGTTCCCTATATTATGCCCTTCCACTCATCTTGATGTCATTTACAAAATACCACCATCAAGTGTGTACTTTTTTCTAAGACTTTAGTATTATGTGATGCATATATATAGGGGTGATGCAGTTCAGGATCATATTTTGGGTGGGATGACATGACATTTAATCTATTTTTGATTTAACACCGTACCACTGATGTTAATGAATTTTGATATCGGACGATTGTTCACTTGTTAGAATGTGTAGCCGTGATGATGTCTACAGTGTAGATGAAGATGACGAGACATTTGGTATCCATATAGTACATAATTGCGAAAAGGACAGTTTGAAATACGTCAGAGGGAGTATAAACAAGAGTCTGTCAAGATATGTAAAGGCATGTGACATGTGAAGGATCAGAAGATCCACTGGTGACCATCTGTATATTCAGGAGAGAGACAACCAATAAAAAGCCAGAAGTGAGTCTAGAGTGCAGGCTGTCTTATTGTTGCATCTGGGCATAACGGTGTTGTTGAAGTCGGAGCAGCAGTAGCATCACCGGCATCAGGTGTGCTGGACAACAAGGAGTCAGCTGCCTGTGGTTGCAAAGATGGCTGGGTGACGCTGGGCTTGGGAGACTGTGAGCTGCCTTGTAGTGGTGCTCTTCGAGGGCAATAGCATGTTTTTGTGTTTCTCCCTCGTGCAAGCATTTCTCTACGTGGAGTTGAACATCCGAGAAGGAGAAATAACTGACAGGTTCTCCCTTCGCATATGGAGCTTCAACAACTACAGGGCTGCGCCCTTGCAACTCTATGCCCTGACCGCTTTGCCTGCGCAGTTTCAAAATGTTTTAAGCCCAGTCGAGAGGAGAGGATGGCGATGTAGCATGAGCACTGGAATAAAGCCTGAGAAGTGTGCTTCCTTGCACTGCTGAGGAGTGGAGATGGCTTCATACGGAGGACTGAGAATACGGAAGTCACCAAAACAAAATCTAAGTGATAGCAATGACGCACATAAGCTGGTGGGACTCCATTGAAAAACCTTGGGGTGGCCAATAAGCAGGGGGACGTCAGGCCTAGAGCATCTGTGCTCAGTACCACAAGATCTCTTTATGAAGGTGTCACGTACATGGAGTGTTGACTTGTTGGCCTGGCAGAGCGCATTTAGTTATGAGAATGAAATGAATGAGACATGTCTGTGAACTCACCTCTGGATCCAAAAGAAGGTCGTCGAGGCTGGCTTCTTTAATGATCGCAGCTACATTGCATGTGTATGCGTGTTTGTTGAGGCAGCCAGCCAGTGGCAACTAGTAGCTGTTCATCCGATGTTCGCTTACTCTGACGCACCCACAAACATCCTTGGAGAATAAACCACTCGAGATTTGTAGGATGTAAGGGCGCGGATGATGCACTTGAAGGTTGCGGCTACATTAGTGAAGTGTGTGATACCACCACCCATGATGAGGACCTTGCCATCCAGACGGGGAGGTGGACAGGCGAGCAGGTCGACTAGATGTAGATGAGTATCATTAGATTGAACTGATGGGATACATACAGATGGTCTTGGTGTATTGGAAAGTCTGGCCCTCGCTTGGGACACCAGAGTATATACCATAGTTGGCAAGTTTGTGTGTGATACCTGCTGCTGCGATGGCGCCGCTGTAGACGACGGATGAACCACTGCCTGCAACCATTGTCTAGACATCACCGGTGGGGTTGAGGACCGTGAGCTTGAGAGAAGCACCAGTTGAAGTGTCAAGTTTTTGAATGTATGCTCCATAAAATGAGTATGACATAATGATCATCGACGGAGTACCCACCTTCCTTTGTGAGATCTCACACTGAATGGAGCGGGCCAAGCCATGGGTGGAGCACAGTCAGCATTTACCTTTGAGCCAGTTGTAGATGCAACTGGAGTGGCCTTGTAAACTGTCAAGTTTTGTAAAACAGCCCACTTTGGACTGCAGATGCCCTTGGCGGTCTGGTCAAGCTTTGCAGCCATATCGAGGGTAGTGGATGGAACCATCATTGAGGACGACTAGGAGGGTTATCTGGAGATCAGCATGGCTTTGAGAATAAACCTGGATTTGAAGTTTGAACCCTGGGCCAGGAGACAAATTTATCATGTGACCGTGGGAGCCCTCCAGACCTTGCCGGCCACTCTTGTGACTCGCTTTGATTACACTTAGTGTCACTCATATTTCCATTGTCAAACACTTAGCATTTGATTCAGGCTCACATCTCCATTGTCGAACACTTAGCATTTGACTCCCACCCATATCTACATCGTGTCCCGCAGCGAACATGATTCAACTATGAACTTGCAATATCTACTTTCAAACAACCTCTCCCATTTTTTAACAAAACTTGAACCAGGCGCTGGCTGTGCTGCATGGCCAGCACAGAGCGCCTGCGATAATAATATGATGCAACTGGAACCAGGCACTGGCTGCGCTGCATAGACAGTGCAGAGCGCCTGTGATGATAATATGATGCAACCTGAACCAGGCACTGGCTGTGCTGCATGGCCAGCACAGAGCGCCTGCAATGATAATATGACGCAACCTGGATCAGGCACAGGCTGTGACACATGGCCAGTGCAGTAGTACCTGTCGCACTTTCACCAATACAAGGGTCTATTCCCAGTCAGATCCAACTACAGGTATATACAGACTCATATAGAGCCTGTAAGGTTTGGATTAGAAGCTTCGAGAAGAATGGTTCGTCCTGCTTGTTTTGCTTCCCATCCATGATTTCATGTAAAAGTCTCATGTGCTGAGACGATTCATAGGCAAACATCTCATATGTCTATCCTACTGGAACATCAAAGATATGAGATGCAACTGATCCACTAGGTAAATGGCTCCTCATCAAAGAAAAGGAGCCGAAAAGCAGCACGCCTGCACTGCCCTGCTACAGTTGTGAAGTTGCATGACTTGGGTTCTGACAGAACAGCATGCAGTGTCGCTGCTATAAATCACCCATGGCCATGAGGAAGAGATTGCTCGGCTCAAGCTGTCGCATACCTCTGAACTCAATGACGTGGCCGCAAAGGCTCAGGAAGAACACAGATCCGTTGTGAAAGAGTAATAGCGACTAGGCTGGTTAGAAACTAGTGCTACTTATCCAAATAGGCACAAGTGTAATATTCGACCCAAGAGGACTGCTATTGAAGCAACTCCCTTCAAATACGCAAGGGTAGTGATGATGCGAAGGGCTGATAACCTATAGCGACCTAAGACCAAAAACCAATGAGTAGTGCTGTAGCGATCAGCGACTAGCGACAAGTGAGTTCCGACAGAGAAACATGCGTATAAGTAAGTAGCGCTATGCAAGTTGTCCTATGTGATAGCGCTATGCGACATCCGACTAGCGACAGCGAGAAGAAATCAAAAGAAGGGAAAGCGAGGAATAAGGTATGATAGTGCAAGTGGAATGCCTGATAGCGACTAGATTATAGCTCGACTACCGACAGCGATCCCGACGTTGCGAAAATCAAACTTATGAAGGAACTTTAGTGACGTGCACTCGAAGCAAGTCAAGCGACACGCAATCAGAGAGATTGGCAAGAGCGGAATCAATTGCACCAAAACTAAGATATAGCGACTAAAGTGACTCCAATACCAGCAAAGGTCCGGGGAAGGGAAGTACTGTACTGTATGTAGGATGGGTCATTTTATCATACTGCATAGGGGTTCGGAATGCGTAGGCGAGTATAGTAGCAACACTGGTGAGGGCACGATGTAGCGACAGGTAATAGAACATGCAGCGCTGCGGAACATGAGGACACATGTAATAAGACCTGCGACTGATGAGTAGCGACATTTAAGGAAATATAACGCACCAGCGGAGGTAGGTGGACATAGGCAGGACATGGAAGGGCGGAACACCTAGACGTCGGACCGGGGTAGCGCGCTATGGGGGAAAGGTGGTACCAAAGCAGATAGCTTGGGAGCTGAATAGCGCTGGTGACTAGTGTCTTACTCTTTTCTTCTAGGCAAGTCAAAATATGCCTATGACATTCATACGCACCTAGCGCCGGTAGGATTGTCACACCGTCCTCACCTCCCACACAGTGGTAATTGCGAATCTCAAATCTGAACACCAGATGTCACTCGCCGAAGTCCAAGCCTCCCTTGTCACTGCTCAAGAAAAGCACGCTTACAACCTCCAAGAGTCGTGATCTTGGATGTTCAGGAACAAAGTGAATGAGGAGTGCTTACAGAGAGGCAGCTTTCACAGTTGGCAGTGACTGAACTCCAGAAGAAGCACTCTGCTGAACACACCATGATGCGCGAAATTTACGAAACACTTGTTCAGGAGCTCGAGGCTCACACAGCTGCTGCAAGCGACTTCGTGGCAGTACATGCACAGTATGAATTGGCTGTGTCCAAACAGATGACTGCAATGGCATCCTTGGGGACAAAATTGGCTGTAAACAAAGTAGACCTTCTGGCACAAGTCACCAAACTGATGGTTGGACTGGAGAAGACATGGTCAGAACAGGCCACGTGTATCCAGGAAGCATCCAAGCGCAAGTCATTGATTGACGAGCTAGACAGACATTGCTCCCTTATCACTGAGATGCAAGAGAACCTTCAGTGCGCTAAGAATGAGAAAGATAATTTGCAAGTAGAGAAGAATAAGCAGGAGGCTGCTTTGTGTGACATGCAAGTACAAATTGCATGCACACCAATCGCCCGGGAGACCTTGATGCCATGGGCAACACCTAATCGCAATATCTCTTTTGCTTGTATCAATGGTATAGCCTACAAGCTTCCTCCTCCCACACCCCCACCATCCATGCCACTGCCACCAGCGCTGAAAACTCGGGAATCCCAGTTCAGTTTATCTACTCAATATCTTTGAAAGACTCTACCAACTCTTCTGCTGCGTCAGTCATCTCCGTACTTGCACCAAGCGGCCCTCGAGTGGACTCCAAGGCCATCGCTGCCAAGCTCGAGGACCAAGCAAAGTATATCAATGGACAGGAGGTGATGATCAAAACACTCAACAAACAGCTATCTCACTGTGAGAGTGATTTGGCTGCTCACACGGATCTCGTGAGTACGCTAGAAACGTCCTTGAGTGACTCTGAGAATAATAATATGTATCCTTCCCTGCTTACTGTAGTGTTGAGCTAACCATTTATATTTGTCTCGCAGTCTGCAAAGCGCGCATGTGAGCTTCTCAAGGTTAACAGATGAAGTTTTAGAGCAGTAGAGCGGACTGTGTGACAGGTTGGCACTGCATGGAGCCAAATCAAATGAAGTATTTCAAGTTTTCAAGTGGATTAATGTCCTGTGAATGATAATTCGGGCTCAGGTAAATAACAACTCTTGAAAAAGAAGGACATCCAAACCACCGATCCATTCTTATACCCATTGGCTGTTGGACATGAGAGATGGTGAGTGACGATCCAGTGTGGAGGACAAAATAATGTTGTCTTCAACAAAATCTGAATCAGCCTGCAAACTTTCAAAGAGACTCAAAAAGGACCTTGATCAACTGCCCCCTGGCAAATTCTGACCATCTTGCTACTTACCATCTACACGATGCCTTCTGATCACAAGCAAGTTGTCATACTCTTATGCAGAGGTGAGGTTGCAGAAATCTATAGACTTACCAGGTAGTTTTACTGTTGCCAGAGCTAATAGGAGGAGGGAATGGTGGCAATCAAGGATCACTTGAATATACTTCCTGGTATGCCGCGTGTCTCCTTAGACCTTGATTGTGCAGATTTTTACCCAGGTATGTCATCGCTGCACTTATTACCCATGTATTTACGATGGATACATATTCTAACATTTGATTAGCTCCAAAGGACGATAATACCATCATATGCAATCTGAAGGGTAATCCAACAATGGTCGTGTAACCAAAGCCTCCTGAAGGACATCACTTGACGCTCTCGCCATTTGTCGATGCTCTTCAATCTGCCATTCATGGAGTAAGCGATGTTAAGGCTCAGAAAAATGTCGTGCCAAGTGTAATGTCAAACTACATGTGTGTTTTGTGGCCTGTAAATTTGTTGCCATCAGATTAATGTATTCTCAGCTGACAACAACACCCTTCTTCGGAGATTTGAGGCGATGGAGGAAAGATTTGGGCGTGACATTGCCGAGCTGAGGTGGGTAAATGAAGCATGATGTTGAAGAGCTGAAACGGGTAAATGCTGGGCTGCAGGACGACATCGAAGAGCTGAGGCAGGACAATTCTGGGCTGAAGCGGGACAATACTGGGATGAAGCATGACATCAGGAAGCTGGGTGATCAAATTGATGAAACGACCAGAGCTGCCTTGGGCGCTCGTCTTGTGTTTTCTTCAAGTTGTTGCTTTTCACACTCATTACAGGATAAAATTGCCATTGATAAAATCCATCAGTGGGTAAGTCCTACTGGTAATTCTGCATCACCCGCTATTCTTTGTCTTAGACTTGTGGACTCACACAGTCATGCAAGATTCCACTTAGTAAATATAGCACTTGTATGTATTACTCATCATTGTTTTATTTGTGCCCCCACAATTTCTGAACATTAATACAGTGCAAAAGAACTTTGTCCTGGCAATGTGTGCAGTTGAGCTCACACTCAAAATATCTGTGCCGTCATCCAGTGCATTGCTATCGGTATCAGCATCTGTCTCAAACAACTTCACCACTACATTGAGTGCGACATCTTCAGCAACCATATTTTTGGCAGAGGTGTGAGCAGCACTCATCCTATAAAACCGACCTCCAGGGTCACATGTGCAGACGATTCTTACAATGATGACCCAGACAAATAAGGGCGAAGTTATTCGTGGCCAGCCTCAAGGTGAGCAACTTTGGTCATATATCTGTGACTATTGGACAAACAGACACGCTGGATATAGCAAACCCTGCTTCATCATCACCGCCTTCAGAATCAGAGAACTTGCATCAGCTTCCTCCTTCACCATCAGAAATATATGAAAACCAACAACTTCCTCCACCTGTCTTTGCAGTAGCTCCTTTGCTATCCCAATCACCAGAAGCTGGTGAAATGATTGCTCTTTCACCCAACCCCCTGGTATTACTCAGGCCGAAGACACCCCGAGCCTCCCACAGTGTCCTCTTGATGCTGATGTGGATCTACGCATCACGAGCCTGCGCGCCATGTTCCTAGATTTTGACAACTCCCTATTGTGTGTAGACAATGCTCTGTCAAGTCAAATGTGCTGAATGACATGCAGATCATCTGTACTTCAGAGTGTCAACAGTGACCAGGTTCTTGCAATTGATACATTGTTTGTTGGCTCCTGTTATATCTCCCAGCCGCTGCCGCTGCCGGAGTGGTGTGAGCCTACTCAGCCTGACCTAGATGAGTAACTTGCTCAATGTCTCATGCTCGAGGAAGAGCAAGCTGCGCAGAATCTGTGGTGCCCTCCGCAGCAGGAACAAGGGCCCCAATATTATCAGTCGATGTGGTCTGCTAGTCAAAACAGGGCAGGTGGAGATAAACAAGGTATGCCAGTACGACGCAGGCAGTTACTCAACAAGATAGCAGAGAGTACAAAATTCTCCATCCTTGTATCATAGGCAGTAACCAACTACGGAAATCACTAGCTGACAAGAAGACATTCTCTTCAATCGTTTTAAAAGTCAACACGAAGATCCAGTGATACAATCAGGGCCAGGGAGCATCCAGGTTCGCATCCCTTTACTTTTGTCACCAATTCCATTGACATCTGTTTCACCAATCTGTTCACCTTTGTGCAAGAAATATCTTGGACTATTGTTGGGACCTGGTCAATGCCTGCAGACCTTTTGCAGCATCGGCGATTCTTGGGTTCATGAGCTTTGGGTCAAGATGTTCGGCCTTAGCATAGACTTCAGTGTATCATTGAAAGAGATGGGTGAGAATATTCCAAACATTGTTGGTCGAATTTACATTTATGATCCCTGAATTGGAGGACTGCTCACAATTTGGTTTGAGTGAGATCTTGCAGAAGCGATGAGTACCAATCGTGACACACAAAGAACACTCAGAGTTGAGATTGTACAAACCTTTGTTAAATGAATGGGTAGGATGTCCTGTGGGCTGGAATTTGCAACTGTGCGTTCAGGGATGGGAGACTGTTGAGTGCTTCAAGCGGAGCGTTTCATCACCATGCAACAAAGCTTGCGTAATAACCCATTCTTTGAAGCCGGGAGAGACTGTAAATTAATTAGAAATAATGCATACTAAGCTATAAAGATGGAAGTCCCTGCATCTCAACTGGCTACCCTCCCTTCTCTCTCCTCTACTGAATGTAGGTCTGAATGTGGTTTCAACCACTCCCAGTCAGTCTTCCAAGGAGTATGGTTTCCATCCATTGAGGAAGTGGGAGGGATGACTGAGAGTGCATATTAAGAGGTTCTGAGTGGTGAGTGGCACGAAAGACAGACAGGTGTCTGCCACACATCTGCAATGGGAATTATTAATGATGAACATGCATTTGGAAGTGCCCGTTATTGATTAGCTGGACTGCTATCATTCTATTACTTTGATTTATGTCGATGGCTACAGGTTAGTTCGTGATCAGGCATTCAAAGCCATCAAGCTTTTTGTCAAGTGATTACTAGAAGTTCACACTTCGACTATGGTAGGCCTGCTGTCCACACCCCAATTCACATCATTTATACACCTTTTTTCACAGCCGGAGACATCATCCACAGAAGGCGGCAGGGAAGATCTACTCCTGGTTGCTTCAGAATCAGCAATTCCAGAGGGTGCGTTCGCTCCATTGTGCTTGACTTGCACTGACTTGAACATCCTCATACAGCATGATGGACAACATCATCGCCTCCAAGCTCTACCACCCTGGCAGTACTCGTCCCACATACCAGGAAGCTGCTGTCTCAGAGTACTTGTCAATGCTGCCCCCCGGCACCTACAAAGGTCTCTACAATTTGTAAGTCATCACAAACCGCTGAATATGCTATCCACAGTTGACTCACCCTCTCCAGCATCGGACGTGTAAGTTGACTCTCAAACTCACAGATATCTTATGAAAATCGTATTCTAGGCATATCCTGATGTGGCATCACAAGTGGAGCATTTTCTTGTCATTTATCAAGGCAAGGAGGTGGGACCTTTGGTACATTTTGTGCCACGCCCACATTCGCTGTGTTCGTGTCCATGCTGAACAACACATGCATCAGAGCTGGAAAGCCTCCTCTTGGCTTTCTGAATCCATTCTTATTTTCCACTGGTTATAAGGCATTAAATGATATCACCAAGGACAATAATTCAGGGTGTGGAACTCAGGGCTTCAATGTATGCCATGTCCACACACCTTTAAGCCACATTGATAATATGCAGTCCACTGTTGGATGGGATCCTGGTGAGTTCATGAAGGCCAATGAAGTTGTGACCTGTCTACATGCTGATCATATCTGTAGTCACTGGATATGGCACACCCAACTTTGACAAGTTGAAGGACTTGGTCTTGGCCATGCCTTACATACCCAAGTAATCTGCTTGGACGTTGTGATGAGTTGTACAACTTATGCATGAGAATAAATATTACAGATTTGTCTCAACTACATTCGTTCGTTATCTGAAATACAGCTCAATATCATGGACAAGATCCACCTCTAGGTAGCATCCTGGTATCCTACCCAAGGGTACCAGAGTATTGGCACAGGTCCAAGGAGAGGAATTTGTCGCATACCTCGAGATAGTTATCTTGGTTAGCGTTGAAGTGACCTTGATGGAATTGACTGGCTTTGACACCAGCCAGAAGGGTGGACATAGAAAGATACTGTGAATATCCACTGCTGTCATGCATGGTATGGAGTTTATGCCATGACATATATGAATAGCAGTGTAAAAGGAGATGAGTAGAGGAGTGTACAAAGGATATGCTTCTCACTTACATAAGCTTTGTTTCTATTTATTTAGTTGTATTTGTAGTTTCTGTCTCTTTCCATTTGTTGTTTGTTTATTCAGCCACTTGATTACATCAGTGAGCCACTCACATATGTTTGCAAGCATGTCATGTGACTGGTAATATTCTGATTTGTAAGGACTTTCCATGACTCATCATGTTTTGTCATGATTCGTCATGCTTTGTAATATTTTACAGTGCTTTGTAATATTTTACTCATGTACTTTAGTAAGCAGCTGATTCAGCACACCAAAAGGCTTGGTTTGTAAGCATAATCTTACCAATCCAAGTGAGTTGTTTTCTCAGCAAATTTAGTCTTTGTTTGTTGATGGTACTTGTCTACCAGCAGGCTGAAATAGAACGGCTTCGCCAAACAGAGGTGCACTATTCTTAGCAACAATAGATTATTGTATAGGCGATCTCTGTAAGATAGTATACAATCAATCTAGACTAAAAGAATATGATTGTTTTCAAAGGCAACTCGTAGGCCTTCACTTTCTTCGTGATCTCACAGTGTTGAGACAGAAAGTGGGAAAACTCCTGACTTCAAATTCCTACATTCCCACACAGTTTGGGAAAAGAATGGAAGGGGAAAAACTTAATATATTATGTGAGAATGGAGTCCTTATATACATTTTAGAAACCATCCTTATCGTCTCAACACTGTGAGATCACGAAGAAAGTGAAGGCCTACGAGTTGCCTTTGAAAACAATCGTATTCTTTTAGTCTAGATTGATTGTATACTATCTTACAGAGATCGCCTATACAATAATCTATTGTTGCTAAGAATAGTGCACCTCTGTTTGGCGAAGCCGTTCTATTTCAGCCTGCTGGTAGACAAGTACCATCAACAAACAAAGACTAAATTTGCTGAGAAAACAACTCACTGGATTGGTAAGATTATGCTTACAAACCAAGCCTTTTGGTGTGCTGAATCAGCTCCCTGCCCCAAGACTGAGTAGTGGAGCACCACTTCCCATTCCGCCACATCCACACATTTTGACCATTTTTTTTGCTCACTTTTGTTCCTCAGGCTATTCTGGACATCTCTCTATCCGACTACTTCATCAAGCACTACATCTTCTCAGAATGACAACCAACCTGCTTCACCCATGATGCCCGCCACCCAACCTCTCCTCTGTTCTCCAATCTGACTCCTTTGTGCATCTTTCCATGATTTCTTAATGGACAATCTATCCAGCAGAGAATTTTTCATCAACCTGCCAAAGGCACAATGCAACCTTGCATTCGCGTCACTTCGAGTGATGGAACACGGTCTTAGCCAAAGTATGTTTTCATTTTCTCTCTTCCTATCTCCCACTGTTACTCAACAATCATTTGTACAGATTATTCTAGCACAAGTGAATCACAACAAAGCAGTACATGAACTTCTCAAGAAGTTAGGTGAAGTTTACAGCTTCATAATGCAAGATGAGATGCTGGGCCAAATCTTGTCAATGCATGCTATCCTTGGAAAGATTTCTCAGCAGACCCGTGAATGTGCCCATTTTATCAAAAATTATTCGGAAACCAAGAACTTTTGTGAGTCTTAGTAAGCTATTGTGCTCTGTACCGTCTTGAGCTTCTACCATTATCACAGAATGTGCTCAATTCATCGAAAATTATTCAGTGACCAAGAATTTTTGTGAGTCTTAACAAGTTGTTACATTTTGTTACCATCCCAAGTTTCTACCGTATCACAGGGAAGAGGCTCAGAAAGAATGTTGTCTTGGAAACGAATGATACGATCTAACAGCACAGTAACACATTGGATACACTCATGCAAAACTTTCAGGACCAAGTCACTCGTGACCTAGCCATGATCAAAAAGTACAAT